CTCAGGGATTTCCATGTGTAGGTGGGATACATGGACTTCTCAGTTGGGCTTGGATACTCTTAAGCACGGGGATGGGTTTTCGCATGCGTCAGACACCCAACATTTCGCCTCACAAGCGAGAGGACCTGGGCTCGATTTCCGACAGGGTGAAACATCAGGCAAGTTTCCTTACTCCACACACCTCTGTTTACTTAGCAGTAAGTAGGAACCTGGTAGTTAGTCAATTGACGGATCGCTTTTCCGAGGGGCAATAATTCCTTCAAATAATAAATAATAATTTGGGCGCTCAATCCACAACTGGGACACTGCTGTGCACAAATGGTTGTCGCATTTTGCCCACAAAACACAGTCAATTCACTTTACAGTGTGTTCTGTGAAGCGCTTTGAGACGTCTCGAAGGTGTGATCAGGGGCTGTGTGGAACCCAAGGATTATTATCATCAAGTTGTCAAGATTTCTCAAAGCGCTGGGTGCAACACGAACACTGTTGCCATTACTCTTTCCTCTCTTTGGACCCAGCTCCAGTCTCGAGAGCTCTCAACCTGGTTGGCTTGCAAAGTGGGTCTCGATCGGCCCCATCACCACCAAAAGTGCACAGCGCTCCCTCAAGCCGCCGAGTGGCCGGCCTCTGTGTGGCAGTGCCACCTGCCCGCCCTCCTGCCCTTTTGCCCGGGTGACTGCCTGCGGATGCGTAGAGCAAAACCGCAAGGGTAGAAGAAAAGGACGAGCGAACAAAACTGCAGTGATTTACAGGGAAAAAAAAATCTCGCCTTAGGAAAGTTTTGTTGACTTGTCGCTGAATTGCGGGAGGGACTTTGTCTTATGTTCCTAACTGTTTTTTTTTCTCTCCCGACACCAGATGTCAGGAAATAGCCAATTGAGTCAATATTCCGAGGTTTGTCGATAAATGTGTTGAGCACATGCAAGGCAAGCTCAAACAACAGCCCCTCTTATTTGACAATGTCTGGCGGGATAAGGCGTTCAAATGCGTCTGCCTTTGCTTCAGGTTGCTGTGTCAGCCTGGCTCGGTCGGTAGTGTTCATCGACAACAACTTGTATTTATACTGCGCCCCTCGCGCAGGCTAGCGTCCCAGAGCGCTCGACAGCGGTGGAGCACGACACCGAACTGCGAAGGGGTGGCACGGTCGAAGAGGAAGGTCTTTTAGGCGAGATCTGAAGACGGGGAAGGAAGGGGGCAAAGCGGAGGGATTGGAGGAAGAGCGTTCCAGAGATTCGGGGCAAAGCGTGGCAGTTGAAAGCCAATCGAATTATATTTTTCTTGATTGAATATTTCGCGATTTATGGCCGTGCCAATATATTGATCTTTTTTTGACAGACTTTTTGAGGCCCCCACAGGCCGCTTCTGGCTCACGGGCCGTGGTTTGGTTGGCTACCACCGGTGTACTGGCGTGGGGGTTGTGCTGAGTTCTTGCAGGTGCCATCCTATGGCTGAGACTTTAAACAAAGCTCCCGTCTGTGCCCTGTTCAGGTGGATGTTAAAGATCCCGCGGCGCTATTTGAAAAAAGAAAGGAGTTTCTCCCTCCCGGTGTCCTGGCCAACAATCCTCCAGATAAAATTCATCATTCGCTTTGTGGCTGTTTCAGGGACCCTTGCTCTGTGCAAATTGGCTACACTACAAAATACAGTCACTACACCTTACAGCAATTCGCTGGCGAAGCACATTGAGACGTTTAACACAAAGCCTTCGGCAGTGCTCTGGGATTTGACCTGCCCGCCTGTTTAAGAGGTACAGACTCACACCTGGACTCAGTCCAGCTAAACTGGTGATTAAGCAGTGAGCCAGGGGTCGGAGATCAGTAGCGAGACTGAGGACTAATCCCCAGATACACCTGGACAAACAATTGCAGTCTCTCACACCTCCAGCACTGTGAGGGGCTCTGCTCCATTCACTCCCTTGTTTGCATGAAACCTATTTTACACAAAAAAAAACGCAAAATCCATAATCCGCCCGGGTTTCACAGAAAAAAGGACTTGTTTCCATCTGCAATTTGCTTTCGGCCTCACAGGGATCAACAGAAAGGGATTTGCTCTGTAAAGCAGGAGGTGCTGTGTGAATGTTCTTAACATCACGTTTTAACTCTTTCATTGGAGGCAGTTTCTGGACTTTCAACTCAGCAATTTCACAGTGGCCACTGAGTAGAGCTGTTGTCTGTACACGCAGTGGTGCACAGTTACGCTGAGCTGTGTGTGTACACAGTTGTACACAGTTAAACTGAACTGTGTGTGTACCCAGTGGTTGGCAAGGACACTGAACTGTGTGTGGACCCAGTGGTTGGCAAGGACACTGAACTGTGTGTGGACCCAGTGGTTGGCAAGGACACTGAGCTGTGTGTGGACCCAGTGGTTGGCACGGACACTGAGCTTTGTGTGTACACAGTGGTTGGCAGAGATACCGAGTTGTCTGTGTACACAGTGATGCCCAGGGACACTGAGCTGTTGTTTGTGTACACACAGCGGTACGCAGGGGCACGCCGTTTTTAAATCGTGTCACGGGATCTTTAGCCTCCACCTGAAACATGCAGACACAATCTCGGTTTAACCTTCGATCTGAAACTCGGCCAGGCTTAGACTCCTATCATCCCCCCCCCCCCCCCACCCCGCTCTCCTCGCTGACTGACGACTTTAGAACATAAGAACCTAAGAATTTGCTGGGCGAGAGAAGACCGAGGTCTATCCAGTTCGCCTTCCACCATCCCGCCAGTCGCTTGACACATCGTGTCCCAAACTATGTACTGTATCCCGAGGTATTATTTTCTAACAGCCAATCCCGCTCACTTTGCCTCTCTGCCTTTCAGTCGATGTGTTGCAGCTGTGTTTAGTTCAGTTTCCTTTCTGGTGGCTCTGTGGTGTCTCACCCTGAATCTAGGCGCAGCAATTGTGGGCACCTCTCTCTCTCTCTCTCTCTCTCATTACTTTGCGACACAGTGACAGCTGCTCCATTCATCCAGGACTCTTATCTTGGGCTCCCACTCCCACAGCAGCATCCCCTGCTCCTTCCTCCATGGCAAACAGCTTCTGGCTGGGATTGGATTGGGCTCCGGGCACATACGTAGCCTTTACTGGCTAATGCAAGACTGTTCGATAGGAGACAAATGGAATTGGGAACAGGAGAAGGAGCATTCAGCCCATCTAGTCCCATAGTGTAGTGGTTAGCACCCTTGCCTCGCAAGCGAGAGGACCCGGGTTTGTTTCCTGGGCGGGTCAGGGGCGAAACCTTAGGCAAGTTTCCTTACTCCACACGCCTCCGTTAACCTAGCGGTAAGCAGGAACCCGGTTGTTAGTCGATTGGCGGATCACTTTACAGAGGTGATAATCCCTCAAAAAAAAATGTGGTCACTCAATCCATGACCGTTCGTGGGACTTTGCTGAGCACAATTGGCTGCCATGTTTCGCCCACAAAATACACAGTCACTCCACTTTGCAATATATTCTTTGAAGCGCTTTGAGACGTCTCAACGACATGATAAAGCGCGATATCAAATGCAAGGATTGTTATTATTATCAAGACCGCTCCATTTCTGCCTATTCCACACCCCGTGTAAAACCCAAACCTCTCCTTCAATCCCACCTCCCCGTCAGATCCCTTCATATATTTCCTCCCTGAGGAAGTAACCATCTCTCTCATAAATCCCTTACCCTGAGTATCCAAACCGAGCTGAGAATTCCCTGCCTCCCACCTACACATGGAAATCCCAGAGATAGATAGTTGGAATGGAATGCGCTCTCTCTCTCTCCCCCTAAGTATCAGGCGCAGGTTGGCAAGAGCCAAGACTTGGGGGAGCTCAGAGTGTGCGTTGGGTTAACTGCTGGAGTCTAATCAGCTAAGACCACATAGCTTGCCATTGATATTGCTACCTGGCAAGCTTCTCTTGCTGCTTGTCCCGGCTAGGACCACCCTACGCTTCTCGTCTCTTGGTTATTGGTGTTAAATCGAGGGCAGAGATGTTTATTACTTGTGAGTCCACACCTTTGCTGAATGGAGGCTTAGAGTTGGCCGTTGCCCTTGACTTGCTGAGTAATGGTGCCATGCTTTAGTAACCTGCTCCCAGTTAATATAGCACACTTCAGTTACCAAAGTCAATTTGGATTGGCACACACGATGCTTTGCCAACTCAGTACGTGTTTGGTTGGTCGCTTGCCTTTGGCATTTGATGTTAAATGTTTCACTCAGTGAATTAGGTTGGGGTGGGGGTGGGGGGGGGGGGGGCGATAATCCCTTTACGCCCCCACAAAAGAAATTGGGTCACTCAATTCACAGCTGTTTGTGGGATATTGCTGTGCGCAATTGCCTGAAACATTTGATAATAATAATCCTTGAACTTGATATAACGCCTTTTCACAACTGTGAGACGTCTCAAAGCGCTTCACAGAATATACTGTAAAATGAATTGACTGTGGGTTTTGTGGGCGAAATGTGGCAGCCAATTGCACTCAGCGGTGACCCACAAACAATCGTGGATTGAGTGACCGCATTATTTTTTTAATGGGGGAGAGTGACTCCTGTCCTCTCTCATTCTCTGTCGCTCTGCCTCTGCTACTCTGGTTTCTCTGCCTACAAAGTACAGTCACTCACTTTACAATAAATTGCAAAAGGGATTTTGGCAAGAACGTGATAAGGAAACATGTGTTGGGCAATGGGGTAAGAGCGGGAGAGTGGGACAATGTGCCGAATGGCCTCCTTCTGTGCTGTAAAATTCTATGATTTTATGATAAATCCTGCAAAGCGCTTCGAGGGGTCACCCTGATGAGAGGTCACACTGTATCAAATAATAATACATCTCAAAACGCTTCACAGACTATACTGTAAAGTGAATTGACTGTATATGTTTTGGGTGAAAAGTGCAAGGAATATGATTATTAATACCGCATTATGACTTTGTTTTGGCTAAGTTCCTGTTGAATTGACAGCGTCCGTCCTCTCTCTCTCTCTCTCTCTCTCTCTCTGCCTCCCTCCCTCTTTCTCTCCCTCCCTATGGCAGATGGTGCACATGGACCAGAAACTGAACAGCATCATGGACACACTAAGCCGTCTGGCTGCCGGTCATCAGGCCCAAGGCCCGGCCCAACCACAAGCCAATGCTCTGCAAGCCGCTTCTGGATTGCACAACAACCTCCCCAGCTACGAGCAGCTGACCGTGCCTAGGAATCGCCACAACAAAACAGCGTGACACCTGGGCTCCTTAACGTCCATCGGTTTGCACCGTGCAAGGAAACACGAAGAGACGTCTCGGTTATCTGGGGGGACACCGGCTGGTGAAGACATGAGTTTGGAACTGCGTAAAACCTCCAAGGCTCAAACTCTTCTGGTAGCTAAATGGATGAGGACCTTGAAGAGCATTATACACCCATTGAGGCTTAGGGTTTCTCTTGACCTCAGTGAACCTTTCCAATTCTGGGTTTCGCATCTCAGCAAACTAGCAGAGAATGCGATGGGTGCTGCCTCAGAACACCAGCCCCTTCAAGCCCCCTCCTCTGCCCCCCACGCCCATCCTCCCCCCCTCACCGCCACCCCCCCTCCCCCCATGATAACCCTATCACACTGAAGATTGCTCTCAGGCGCTGTGCAAAAAGAAAAAGATGATCGTGTCATCCCAACATTTTGTTTCCCCCACACTATAATAGTAATATATTTTTGACAAAAAAGAATCATTCGTAATAAAAGTAGGTACTCCAAATCCTGTAGAGTAGGCTGCGATGGGCACGGTTCTGGGGATTAAATTAAATTAAAGCGTTTCCGTTGAGGGTTTTTCCAACTCCCTTCTAGGTGGTTAATGCGGGTCTCTCTCTGTCTCTCTCCTTTTTTTGCCCTTTTCAGTGGCAACTTACAATGCATTTATCCCACTCCTCCCAACCCCACTTTAGTCCTACTCCCTGACAAAGGGAAGAAATCTGGGTCACTCTGTACAGGCCCCATCTCAAGGTGTAACTGAGGTCACTGAGATCTTTTATGCTGCTGTTTCATTTGCAAAGATGAGCACCTCCCCACCCATAACCCCTCCCTCTCCCCGTCACCCCACACACATGATTTCTCCTGTCCTCAAGGTGCAGGAACTGCTGTCTTCCGATTTGCGACCACATGGAAACTTTGCCTTGTTTTGCAAAGCTGATCCAGCGAGGAACATGGCTTCCAAATCCAGCTTGGATACAAGACTGTTGAAGAGTCCAGCACAGACCATGAGGAACATAGGAACAGGACTAGGCCATTCAGTCCCTCGAGCCTGTTCCACCATTCTATAAGACCCTGGCTGACCTGTATCTCAACTCCAGTTGTCCACACAAAGGAACGTCTCGCCCCTTTGGTTTCTACAGAAGAAACACCTCATTTTTGAGCGCGGGAGGAGAGATCGCTGTGATATTCCTGCACGTAGACACTTTATTATCTGATGTACCCAGCACACAGACTCGCTTGAGACGCAACAAAAAACTGAGCGTTTTCACTCTGAATCACTCTCCTCCAGGAATCGTGTACCGTTGCCTCTCCCACCCACACCCACCCCGGCTTCTCTCTCCCCCACCCCCTCCCACCCACCCCCCCCCCCCCCCCGTCAATAACGGTTGAAGAGAAAGAGATTTAAAAAAGGCCTTTTTTGTTGTTTTTCAAAATAGTGAACATGCGGTAAACCACTACAGTACAGACAAAAGCGAAGACAGACTTACTGGGCACCAGCATCCTTTTCCTTTGGGTGGTTGGGGGGTGGGTGTTGTCTAATGGGTGGTGGGTGGGTGAGGGGGGAGAGAAAGAATTGTCAAGGAATCTATGTTACAAAGTGAAGCTAGCCGGAATAGGGCTAGACACGAGTGGTGGGGAGATGGGCGGGTGGGGGGGTGGATGGTTGCCACTGTGACAAAATTAAATGGAGTTCAAAGAATCAGACAGCAATCTGGTGACAATGTTACAAAGCTTGGTGTGAGGGATGAGGGTGGCAGGGGGTGGGCATAGGCGTGGGGGTGGGATGGGGTGGCTCGAGTCGGTAGGGGAAGGTTTTGGGCAAGTTCTCTACATCGCAAAGGCACACCTGATGCCAGGGTTATACATACAGAGCACTACATTTTGCCTATGAAGGTGAAATCACTGGATTCCTCGCTCCTTTTCCTGCCTCGGGGATCACAAGGGGCTTGGCAGACAGGAACCCTTCGGCAATCAACTACTGAGCAAACTGACAATGAGATGAATGGTTACTTCTGCTATGTACAGATAATATATAGAGTATATATGGTAGATTTATTTTCTACTGCTATTTACGTCCGCAGTGGGGGGGGGTGGGGGGGGTACTTTTTTTGTAATGAATTATCTTTTCTAACTTGCAGTTGATTTACTCAAAGCCATTAATTAGTTGGTGTATTAATCATGAAGGACTCCATTTCTCTCTGTTCTCCCTTTCACCCATCCCCTCTCTCCTGTGCTCTCGATGCCCCCACTCCTGCTCTCCTCGCTCCATTTTCTCTCTCATCTCTTTTCTCTCTCTCTCCACCCTTCATTGTCTCTCTCTCCCCCCCCCCCCCCCCCCCCCCGCTCTCTTCCTTATGTACCCTCTTGTTTCTTCCATCTCCCTCTCCGTACCATCCTTTTCCCCATTTCTTTCCTGTTATTATCTCTCATCTCCATCTCTCCCTCTCACCTCTTTCACTCCTTTTGGTCCTCGTTTCTCTCCCCTTTCGCTCTCCATCCTCCACTCTCTCTCTCTCTCCCTCCCGCTCTCTCCTTCCTCTCACTGATGCTGTCACTATATTTCTCCAATGGAGTAAGAAATGGCTAAGAATTTCATGTTGCACTGTTTTGTCTCTTGATTCGAAACCCGAAAACAATGAACTGTTTCGGGAAAAACTGAATGAAATGCTTCGACCAAATCAGCAGGAATTCACGTTGTGACTAATGACTAAGGTCAAATTCATTTTATAATGAGACTTTTTTTAAAAAAAACCTCAAGATTCTTTGTATAAATTTGAAGACCGAGCCAGTTTTGGTAATGGTGCCTTAATAAAACAAAAATGTCAACTATGTTCAGCCCGCTTTCAAATTTATTTTCATAACATTTTACACAAACAGCCCGCATGTACATGCCAGAACCAAAGAGGGTGCATTCCTGCAATGTTACAGTAATTTGCTGCATTTGTGTCTGTCTCTTTCCAGTTAACAGCTAAGGTTTGCCACCATTGTCATTTGCAAGGAATTCACAAAATATTGCAGACATTTGTGAGCTCCCTCAATTCCAGTCAAGAAAACATCTTGGAGTCCGTCTGTCTACCCTCTGCGTGTGTTTTCTTATCCGTGTTGTGTGTATTCGTCTGTCTGTCATCTTACGTGTCTACTTTCTTATGTGTCTGTGTCTGTCCCCTTGTCTATTTTCTTGTGCGTGTGTATGTGTATTGTCTGTCCTCACTGTCTGCAGTCTCTGTGGCTATGTGGGTGTCTTCCCTTCTCCCTTCTGTCTTCATTTCTCTGTTCCCTTTCTCAGTCTCCATGAAAGTCTCTCTTCATTTTTTTGTGTCGTGCTTTGACTCTTTGGGTGTTTGTCAGTACCTTCCTATCTCTCCCTCTCTCTCTCTCCCTCTTTCTCACTGTGTCTGAGTCTCTTTTCCCCGTTCCTCATCTTTCCGTGCGTGTGACTCCTTAGCCTCAAGTTGAATCATGAAATTTCTATCCTATCAAAACAATTTTTCGTACCATACAAATCCCTCAACAAAAAAAATTGGTCACTCAATCCACGACTGTTTGTGGGACGCTGCTGTGCGCAATTGGCTGCCGAATCTCCCACGAAATACACAGTCAATCCACTTTACAATATAACCTGTGAAGCGCTTTGAGACACCTTACACAATGAGTGAACGAGTGAGTGAGTGGGTGGGTGAGTGGAGCGAGTGAGTGAGTGGAATGAGTGGAGTGAGTGACTGGGTGAGGTGCTAGTTTGCTTTCACTGCCTATGTGGCTTTAAGTCGCTACCAAGTTAGACGCCAGTTTATTTCCTTTTCCCCTTGAATGTTAAACCCAACTTCACTGAACGTGTTCTCTAGAGTTCTGCTGAGCCATGAACAGCCCAAGAGCTAACGTTTCCGTGACAGTGGCCAAGGGTTGGTTGTGATATAACGAAGCCCTGATGGAAAGCACCAACATCCATTGGAATTCAGTAGTTACCCATCTTGAACAAAGAGAGAAGCGCCATCTCAGTTGACGGGGAGGTAGACATATTGCTTTAATGTTCCTCTCCGCTATATGTTCTTGTCCTCATTGCTCCCTTCTCCTCCCCCCCCCACCCCCCCCCCCCCCACACACTCCCCGCCCCCGAACACTTGCACACTTTCCATTTTGCCCCTGGCCGGCTATTGTTCGTGTAAGACCCTGCCCTTAGATTTTATGAGTGTCTTCCCTCTAAAGGAACAGATGGCGGCCTGTTCTGTCTTCTGAAACGATTTGCAGCCTAAATTCCACCACTTGATGCTGACAGATAACCAAGTAACACAGCACACGACCATCTGGTGTATGACACATCTTATGTCTTGCAGACAATGCTCCGTCAAACCTTCTCAGGGGAGAGGCCGGTCTCTATGACAACGGCAGCATGTGCAGCTCCAGGCCTTATTCAGGAACGAGCCTCCGCGCTCGGTCCCCTTTCTTCCCCCTCCTATTGTTGTCGGACGGCTCTTAGCTGCATGGCTACTCAGATGCTGACAATATCCGTCAAGGTTTTGTCCCCCGCTCCGGTTACCTTTGTCTGCAAACTTTATTCCTTTATTTGTACTTTCAATATCCAGGGGCTGCCTGCAACATCTGCTTCGGCTTCGGGCAGACAATTCACGTCAGCCTCCTCCTTGGCTTCTAGGCCGAGAGACCTCCTGTACCTCTGTAGCCGCTTAGGCCGAAAGAACCTCTTCCTCCCCCCCCCACACACACATCTCGAAGATCCCCACACAGACACACACACACACACGCCTCAAAGCCCCCCCACCCACGTACACGGACGCACAATTACCCACTCAAAGCCCCCTAGGTCTCAATAGCACCCCGGCGCTAGCCATCCCTTCCTCATTTCAGGAACTAGGCTGAAGAACCCTGATACTTGCTGGGGAAAGATGGGCAATGGGCTGCTCTGCCACCCACCCCGCGCCACCACCCACCCACCCACCCACCCCCACTCGCAACCTTTCCCCTCAAATGGATCTCAGCATCGTCAGTCACCACCTCAGCCTGATGAGGTGCCCGGCTCCCAGGTGTGTCACCAGTGGCAGTGTAATAATAATAACAATAATAATCCTTGCATTTGATATAGCACCTTATCACGTTGTCGAGACTTCTCAAAGCACTTCACGTAATATACCATCAAGTGGATTGACTGTGTATTTTGTGGGAAAAACGCGGCAGCCAATTGCGCACGGCAGAGTCCACAAACCGTGTTGGATTGAAGAGTATTTCCGTAGGCTGTGCGGAGAGACATCCTTCAAAGCAGCCGTAAAGTGCCTCAGCTACATCGCTGCGAATTTCTATGGTTCCACGCCAGCCCTCAGCAAGGCCGCTGTGCTCCGGATCGCAAACAAAATCTCCGCCGAATATTGACCGTTTTTAGCCGCAGCGACAGGTCAACACACACGATTCAATTCAATGATTTGGACAAAAAATCTTTTATAAAAAGCCTTCGGTTATTTCCTCTTTGCGGTGACCGACAAAAAGGTTGACCCAAACACTGTTACCCAAGTCCTGAAAGGCCGTTATTATCCCAAGCCTTTAGCCAAAAGCAAGTCAAGGGAACGTGTTAATTTACTGTGCTTTCCCCCTTAATGTACTGTACACTTATGTCGTCACGGCAAGAGTGTACTACGAAACCTTTTTTATAGTCTTCAGAATTGCATTAATTGCGTTTTAATGAACCGGCTTTATTTAAAGCTCCTTCTGTTATTCTTGGCTGCCTGAAAACCTGCCCCGTGGGGATGAAGTATGTCAGCCCATCTGCTTGGCTGCGATTTGTGGGCCCCCAGCACCGACCGTGGTTACTTAAGTCCCTTCGCGCCGACCACCTTTTAAACAGTAATAAAACGCTGAAAATCCTCGCCTTCGTTACGGTGCCTTTCGCGCAGGGAGGTCGGTGGGCGTCCCAAATGCGATTCGCAAGATTATTACCGGGACCGTGGTTTTTTTTTGGGGGGGGCTTGAACCCACAAACCTTCTGACTCAAGAGGCAAGAGTGACAGCACCTCGCCAGGCTGACACCTAACACCGCTTTCATATAGGAAATGCAATTTATTACACTTATACATTGGAGTAGAATAATATCTGGGGAAACAATGCATAGTCTGGGACACGACACATCATGCGACTGCCAAGGATGGTGGAAGGTGAACTGGATGAACCTTGGTCTTCCTTCTGCCCTAGCAGGTTCTTGTGGGAGAGCAGAGAGTGCCGGTCACCGCAGGCTGCTGGAGAGGACTTTGTGTTGTGAGAGGGGATGGTGCTGTACGTGGAGGAGCTCCAGCTGTCTGTGAGAGGATGTGATTCACAGCCACCGGGTGAGGAAGGAACTTGTGCAGATGCGATTGAAATGGACGTCAATGGGAGACATCGTGTCAACACTAGTCACTTCATCTGCCAGACAGGATGTCAGTGGTAAAATTCTTGAGTCATCATCACTGAATACTGTACCACCTGTTACATTAGAGTTAGCTCAACCTCTAACACTGCAGAAAAGTTACTCTAGAGAACCAACTGGACATCTCCTCTGTCACATCATCATCAGTAGCCCTCTCTATCATATTCCCTTCAGTATCCCCTCAATCAGATAATAATGATAATAATAATCCTTGCATTTGATATAGCGCCTTATCACGTCTTCGAGACATCACAAAGCGCTTCACAGAAATATCTGTAAAGTGAATTGACTGTATATTTCGTGGGCGAAACGAAACTATTTGTGCACAGCAATGTCCCACAAACAGTCATGGAGTGAGTGACCAAATTATTATTATTTTGTTAAGGGATTATCACCCCCGCAAAATCGATTCGCCAATCGACTGATAAGCAGGTTCATGCTTACTGAAACAGAGACACGGGGAGTAAGGCCTAACGTTTCGGCCTGCCCGGGAATCGAACATGGATCCTCTCCCTTGCGAGGCGAGTGCTCCAACCAATACATTACGGGACTCGCAACATCTCTGACTTTGGGGTGGCTGTTCCTAAAACTTTGGGCAAAAAAAAAAGTTTGAGAAGTTTTTCGACTTGTTGAGAAATTTCTGGTGGCCGAATACCGTAGAGGCAAATGGAAAATCAGCTGTGGATCTCTGGTCAATTCTCTTCTTGATTTCACCCTCTGGAACTCCTTTCCGGAGCCCCTCCACCTCACCCCCACAGTTGCCTCCCTCAAGACTTTCCTCTTCGATCTTGTTTTCAACAAGAAAACACCTCACAACACCTCTCACTTCACAACCCCACTGCTCGCACACTCCCCCTCAAGTCCAACCCCCGCTCCCCCCCCCACCCAGCTCAGGTGCAAACCCTTAACTGCTTAACTGTCCAGAGCCTTGGGATGTCCTTCTGGCGTGAAAGTCCCTGGCGTAAAGGCAATTGTTCTTGTCGTTCATCAATTTCTCTTGTATTGATTCATAATAAGAATAATAATCTTGACCCGGCCATTTGATGAAGCCCCTTTTCATGTCAGGAGGACGTCTCAAAGCCCTTCACTGTGATTTAAAGATGAAAAATGCATCTATTTCGCCTTAACGGAGAGAAATGGGTGTAAACTCTTCCCATTCTCTCTTTGTGTGTTCATGAACTAACTTTTAGCTATAAACGTTTCTGACGTACATTCCAGTGAACGCTTCTCTGACATTCTCTCCTGCACCTGGGTAGGTTTGACCCTGCTCTGTCCTCGCGTCATCTCTCCCTAACTAAACAGCCCAGACCAATAACAAAGCTTTCAATAGCAAAGCTTGTATGGACAATGACCTCAGTGTAACCTTGAGTTGTGAGTTAAAGATCGGGTTGCAAGCGAGTCTATCCATCTGCATCCAGGCGAAAAGCTTTCAAAAGCAAAGGTGCCGTGTTTTTAAACAGGTGAAAAACCCTGTGTATCTTCACCAAAAGGCATTAGCAACCTTCTCTGCGCAGGGCTGTCACAATGATGCCCACAGGCTCTTTATTTGATATAGAGGCACCTGTTCCAACAACAAGTTAAACTTAACTCTCGACGAAGGAAATAAACTGCAAGAGTTCTTACTGAAAAGCTACTGAAACGCCCTGGGAAGCTGTCTGATTTCAAGATTTATTTCGAGGGAGGCGACTTTGCTTGCTTGATATGCCTGTACCTACGCGAGAATCAGTGATCTGTATCTGTCTGTGTTTCTGCTCTGTGTCTGCCTCTCTCTCTGTCTGGGTGCACTAACACACATATAGTCCCTCCGTGTCTCTATGCCATGCGCACTTGTAGTGTCCATGCATTGCGTTTATGTCTGTGTTATTTCTGTGTCTCATGATTGCATATAACATGTTTAGGCATGCAGTGCATGAGTGTAGTACATCCATGGCTTTGCTATGTGCGGTAATATGGGTGTAGTTTTGGTAATGTAGTGATTAGCACTCTCGCCTCGCAAGCAAGAGGACCCAGGTTTGATTCCCGAGTAGGGCGAAACCTTAGGCAAATTTCCTTACTCCGCGGAGCCTCTGTTCACCGAGCAGTAGGTAGGAAATGGGTTGTTAGTCGATTGGCGGATCACTTTTTGGGGGTAATAATCCTTCCAAAAAAATGTGGTCATTCATTCAATCCACGACTCTTTGTGGGACACTGCTGCGTGCAATTGGCTGCTGAGTTTCGTCTACAAAATACGCAGTCAATTCACTTCACAGTATATTGTGTGAAGACTTAACTGAAGGCTTTGTATAGATGCTCACAACTGAAATATCGATCTCCCCAGTAACAGTGCTGGTGAGGCGACAGGTCAGTGCAGTGAAATGCATCTTTGAGAGGTCGGTGGAGGTGGTGGTGGGGGTGGGGGGATGGGGGGGGAAGGGTCGGAGTGGGGGGTGGGCGGTTGGCAGTTGAGTCCTGTTCCTGTCACAAAGTGAAGAAAGAGAGTGATTGTGTTGGGGGTGTGAGATGGATGGGGCTGAATGGCTCACTCCCCAGGGCTGACCAACTGAGCAAACCTGCCACGAGCTTCCTGTCAATGTGCCTTCTGCCCGGTCGCTTCGCCTGAGTGAGCCTCCCTTTGTGCACATTGCGAATGAATGCGAGATTGGAAGCATGCACAGCACCCACATACCTACCTGGGAATGGGGCAGCTGGCAAGGGAGAGAGAGAGAGAGAGAGAGAGAGCCAGGCAGGTCAGGACAGGCAGTTTATTAATGAATAAATAATACGAATTATCCTTGCATTCGATATAGCGCCTTATCACGTCGTTGAGGCGTCTCAAAGCGCTTCACAGCTCCCAGTCCATACCGTAAAGTGAATCGACTTTTGTGCAATTTGCGAGCGAAGTATTCAATTATTTATCACTTGAAATAAATAACCACCGCAGTACCAATTCCAATCTAATTTCGTCCACACCCCGGCAACTCTTGCGTTGTGTTGACTCTCTCTCTCTCTCTCCTCTCTCTCTCTCTCAAACTTGGATGCAGCCGAATTTGAAACGACTGCCAAACCACCAAATAAAACACAACAAAGTAAAAAAAAAACGACTTTTTTTTTGCAAAATGTTTGCATTGTTTTGAACGCAAACCCGACTCCCCGCCAAGACTTAAAATAAATACAGGTTTACAATGGGAGTTAAGCCAGGCATTATGGTCATGTTGATATCTGCCCTGAAAGCTCAATACACCCTATTTTGTTTTGTTTTGAGCTAAACAGGAGACAATCTCACTCGTTCTCGTTGATTCGAAAAAAACACAGAAAACTTCCTAGAGAAAAGGCGGTGATACCATCACCCCTCTATTTCCCATTCTCAGGTCGAGGGGAGCAGGCCCCAAAGAACATTTCGCTGTCGGTTGTTGTTGTTGTTGTTTGTACGGGTAAAAGCCAGCGCACGATCAAATGTTAAGGTGTTAAACCAGTTTTTTTCGGTCGAAAATATATATTTGTTTATAAATGTAATACTTGGTACAGCGGAAATCCAAAACAAACACAACGTCTTCTGTTATATTTTTTTCCCTTCCTCCCGATGCAAAAAAAAACCTTCCGTGGTTTACGCTACATTCCTTCACCGCACGTAGGTTGCGCACACGTATGTTTTTTTGGGGGACGCTCCCTTTAACACAGCCGGGAGTCGCCCCCTGTGTGCACCACCACACCCATGTGTGCCCGTCCGCCCACGCCCTGATAAGGCGCGCTTGCTGCTTTCGGAAGGTGCCCCGATGTGCGCCCCACCTACATTTTCGGGGATGTTACACCCAAGTCGGAAATGTTTTCACGATGGTGGGTGAAGGTTTGTGTGTTTGCTGGTAATGGACAGCCTGAAAGACATGACCAGCCACTCACTACCTCATTCTTTAGTGGGTCAGTTTCACTTCTGGCGCCAAACACCCCCCCCAACACCTCGCCCCTCCCCTCCCCTCCCCCCCACCCACCCATCCTCACCCTCACACACCCACCCATCCTCACCAACCCCCACCTTCGCACACACACACACCCTCTTTCTCTCTCTCTCTCTCTCTCTTTGTGATTGATGGATGATGACAATTACATTGAATTTGACAATTTCTGGTTGGAAAAAAAACAGGCCAGATTCTAATACCACTCTCCCTCCACTCCCCATCCCCCTCCCACCCTCCCTCCCTCCATCATCTATCTCTCTCATCTCTCTTTCTCCTTCATAACCAGCTAAAAGACAGCAACCACTCTCCCTCCGTAAAAAAAGCAAAACACTACAGTAAAATGTATAAAATGCAATGAAGTTCTCGGTAGACTTTCAAACTCCTGGGACGCTGCTGTGTGGGCTGCCGCGTTTCGCCCACAAAATATGCAGTCAATTCACTTTACAATATATCCTGTGAAGCCCTTTGTGACGTCTCGAAGACTTGATAAAGCGCTATATCAAATGCCAGGATTCTTAGAACTCGGCGCTTCGAGGGAAAAGAACTCATTGACCAGTAATCCGGAGTTATGAGTTAGGCATATAAATGCCTAAATAAACACAGCCGGGATATTGACAGCACGATGACTTGAGTTAAGCCAGGGTTGAGTTATTAGGAGTTTACTGAATCTTCTCCTCCGACTGAAGTAGCTTCACAGGATATACTGTAAAGTGGAGTGACTGTGTATTTTGTGGGCGAAATTCCACTTGGGTCTGTCCTGTCTGGCCATGATTAATGTGGGGGGTTTCAGAGAGTCCAGAAATGTGGCAACTTCTTAACGGTGAAGCCGGTCGCTCTCTAAGTTTCTTTTAAGAACCAAAAAGGCAGGGAGTGTGAGAGGATGACTTTGAAGTTACGCTCGAATTGAACAGTTCGCTCGATCCTGGACACCCTTAAATTGCTAGGCTGATAAGAACGAACCCACAAACACACAGCAAGGCTTCACTGAGAGCGAGAGGGAGAGAGGATTTTCTTTGACACTTTTATTTGTTCTCTTGAATTGGATTGGGGAGTGCGGGTAAGAGAGAGAGAGAGAGAGAGAAAGACCAGTGCGTTTAAGCCCCTGGGGCTGTGTGTGTGTGTGTGTGTGTGTGTGTGTTGGCTCGCCACGCTGGGTTTATTGTGTTTGCTGTAAGCACAAGCACTTTGTTGCTAACTCCTGAAAAAAAATCTTGTTGTTGTTATCGAAGCTCTTAGCGCATAATAGGGGTATGTGAGAAGGCAGACGGTACTGATTAGTGTTTCCGTTCAGAATGGAGGTCGATCGGGCTGATTCAGGTCCCCTGGACTGGAGAGCTTTAATTCGCCAACAATAGTTTATTAACGGGTCAATAGCATGGCACGCTCACTGCTCCCCTCAGTCTAAACTCGCCGTGAAGCAATCTTTGTTATACCCCAACCACCCCCTCCTCACCCCCAACCCCCCCCCTTCCCCCCCCCCCACCCCCCCCCTCACTCCCCTTTCTCCAAACCTCATCTGCTTCCAAACAAACCCTCGGTGCCAGATGTCCTGTAAAATGCTAATTGTTTTAAAGGTTTTTTTTTGTGTGTGGCAGGTTTGAAGTGGACTTTGGAGATGGGGAGGGGAGGAGGGTGAGAGAGGGAGTGGGGCGGTGGGGGTAGGGAGATTAAATTGTATTGCTTTGCAGATGGGTGAGGAGTGTGCGATTATAATGTGAGTCGCACGTTTGGAATCTCAATAGTAAATCCGACAGCCTCCTTTGTAATGTTTAGTGTAAATCTAATCTCTCTCTCGCCCCCCCACCCCCTCCTCACTCACAACCTCCCCCACACCCCCGCCCCCACCCCCACACCAGCCCCCAACTCCTGCTCTTCCTTCCTTTCTCTCGCCTGAATCCTTTCCCATGTCACACACTTCGCTCACTCACTCCTTTCTTCTGGCGCTTTTCCTTGTAAGAAGGAGAGAGAGAGAGAGAAAATATACACTCAAGGTCATCACAGATTGATTGCCAACACGACTGAAAATATCTGGCCTTTTACTGTGCATTTAAAAGCCCTTTTCAGGTGTGTGTGTGTGTGTGTGTGTGGAGGTTGGTGAAGGGAGGGTGAGGTGAGGTGAGGGGTATAAAGAGATACTACTAATAATAATAATACTCGCATTTGATGAAGCGCTTTTCACGTCGGGAAGACGTCCCAAAGCGCTTCACAGAACACACTGTAAAGTGAATTGACTGCATATTTGTGGGCGAACGCGGCAGCCAATTGCGCACAAATAGGGGGAGAGATTGTTAAATTATGATTCGTAAACTGCC